GTGTGTGTGTGTGTGTTTGTAAATTAGCTCAGGGTTCTCTGCGCCTTCTCTAATGGCCAACAATTTGCCCATGCTCGTACCAAGAAGAGCTCGCTCAACACACACACCCAGCAGAACAGGTGAGGTTCACACAGACTTTTTTAAAGATAATTTCTTCATTGTATACATGAACAAACAATGAGAAAACAAACAAACAACATGACTTACAGTCATTATCAACAGTGTAGTGTCACTTGTGTTTTGGCTGCTGATAGCGGACTTCTTCACGCTATACAACCAGAGTGTTTGTTGAGTATGCAGCACTGTGGCATTGCCCCGCTCTCAGCCTCAATATTGCTTGTTATGTCTACCCTGACGCCTTTTATGAGTAGTGATGGATCTCACTGGCACACTGATCTAATTCCAGGGTGCCTGTCTCCTCTGCCTCAGACAGAGCTTTGACAGCCTCTTATCAAAGACAGATGAGGATACTCCGCAGCCCTGTGATACCAATAATGTTGCTGCCTCACATAACCCCTAAAGTTGCCACTGTTGGAGAGCCCTGTCCTACGTTTCTGTGTAACCACCACCTTTCCACATCACTTTCCCCTCCATCTTGGTGACTTTCTAATAGGCTGACAGCTGATGGGTGCATTGAGCGGAGCAGCGTTGTCAGCTTTTTATTTCCCCTGCATGCTTGCAAGACTACCCCTGCATTCGATGTGCAGTGGGTTTCACTGAGAGATTTTGGACTGTGCCAGTTTTAGCTTTTGTTTCTGATCTTTGACTTTTCGGCTTCTTTCTTGCGTTTTGCAAGAAGACATAGGGTCTTAACTGTTGTTTAAGGAGGATCTATTAGCAGAAATGGACTGTAATATTCACAGCTATGTTTCATTAGCGTATAATCACCTGAAAATAGCAATTGTTGTGTTTTTGTTTCCTTAAAATTATTTATCTACAGACGCCGCGGGTTGCCTTCCATAGAAACTGCCATGTTAAACCACTATGTTTCTAAAGTAGCCCAGAACTGATAAACCAAACACTTTGCCCCATGGTTTCTCCTACCCACTCCCAGGTTATCAAATACAGACGATAGCTGTGTACAGTTCAACTTCACCACTAGACGCCACTCAATCCTACACACAGTACCATAACTGCATTACCTATACATATATTTGTGAGGATGTGTCTGAATGTGTTATTCTGTTGACAAGGTGCTGCATCCTTCCATAAAGATGATGAAAAGCAGGGTGAAGAAGATCCCTGGCTCACCTCTAACACTCACTCCTCCAGGATGACACCCATAACAGGTTAGAGACAGATGACACATGAAATGACAAACACTCAGCAGATCTTTGGTTCAGCCACAGTTTTATATGTATATATACTTAAACTAATTGTTCTACCTTGATGCAATAAAGGTCTTCAGATTCTACTGAATGCACCTTCTATTACGTGTTGAATTATTGAATAAATTGAATGATGTCTATGCGATTAAGCACAATTATCCCTGTATATCTCCTGCAGACCAAACAGAGCTTCATTGCACAGCTGAGTCTGGTGGCACCGCTGCAGTTGACTCGGATGACTCTGATGACATAATCGTGTCTCCATCCCGTCCTCTAAGAAGCAGAGAAGTCTTAATCTTATAGACCTTCTGGGTTGTGTGTGTGTGTGTGTGCGTGTGTGTGTCTGTGTAAGTGTGAGGGAAGAATGTCTGCTCAGAGCCTGTATGTCAGAGACTTGCACAGTCATACGTACCAAATCATTATGGTTTGGGTTCTTACTGAACCTGCAAATGATAGCTGGGATATTCCAGTATTCGTCAGGATAACATTGAACATACACAATATTTGCTGTCTGCTGATTGTCGCCTGTATAAGCGCATTTTGTTTCTACAGTAATAACCAGAATATTCTGGCAAGTTGGGTGCAGGGTATTTTATGACATAAAGTTAAGAGGCACATAAACACCTCACTTTGATCATGCTCTTATTTAGGATAATGTCAAAATACAATATGTAGATGCAGTGACGTGTTGACACGAGACTATAGGATATTCTCTTTCAGCGTAGAAGAAATCACTCACACAAACATGAAATGGACATCGCCTTTAATTCTAAGCTATTATTCTTGTGGTTTATCATTTCAGCCAAATTTTAATTAGTCTTATGTTTTCTCAATGATTTTTTTGTTTGCCAAAAGTGCCTACTGCATGAATATTCAAATTCAAATTGTTAATAAATGTATTCATTTCTCTTAACCCAACTGGCCCAAGTGAGCCACATCACTATAAATTCCTCTGGACTTGGCAGGCTTGAAATGATTAATGAAATATATTTCTACACGACTGATTTGTAACACTTAAATGTCATTACACTTAATTTTGTCATGTGTGCTTAAATGATGGCTGATTCCGAGATATGATTCTCAACCGATGCACTATTGAGTTAAACTGTGAATAAATTATAGATCAGTATGCTGCAATACTAAAACACACAGTCAGAACAGTGGAGGATACAAAGGGAGTATGTCTGATGCAAATAATGTTTGTGCTCTGAACCAGACAAATGATAACCCAGAGGGAGGTCAATAAAGAGAATGGACGAGAGCAGTTTTCTCCACATGATGTGTGTAACTTAATTTCTGAGACATTTAATAAAATGCTGTTTTTATAATAAAACCTCTTGTGTCTGTTAAGAAAAGCGATGGTGGATATGTATATTTACTATACAGTGTACAATTTTGAGGAACATTTCCAAGGTTAATTTATCAGAATCAGAAATACTTTAATAATCCCAGGGGGAAATTACTTTTGTTACAACTCCAGATATACATACAACATATAATATATTAAGAACATATATATATATATATATATATATATATATATACATATATCTGACTCTCTGAGGGAGGCGTTGT